CTCTGTGCTGTTAAGCCACATCTCCCTTTTCATCATCCTGTATCTGCTACTTCCCCCTATCACCATTTGGCTGGAAAGCTCACCTTTGAAGGGCTCTCACCAGTGGGCTATGCTCATGTGCATGCCCCCACAATGCTCTATTTTTTTAGTGCTACAAAGTTTTGTAGCTACAAAGTTTTGTAGCACTACCAATGAGTATGGCTATGGACAGACATTACACATAAATCAGTTTAAGCGATCAGAAACTGGTTTAAACCTGTAACAGAACAGATGTTCAGTGCACATAAACCAGTTTGAAAATGGCTGAAACTGGTGTGAGATAAACCTGGTTGAATGTAGTATCAGATTTAACTGATTTGGCTCAAACCGGTTTATGCAATGTCTGTCCCAGGCCCCTCCCTGGTTTAACTTAAACCAGAATCTCCCAGCATCCCAGATGCTTCGTGTCCAAGGCCATAGTTTCATACTTCTGGCTAAAATACTGATCATGTTTTAAAGGGAAACTATTAAAATCTATAGACAACACCTCATGCATTCTCTTCCTTGCTTCTCCCAGTACCAATGCAGGACAATTTATGTGCAAGTAAGTGCCATTTGCACTGCATCCAGACAGGTGTGGCCGTGTGGTATTTGGCACTGCAGACACATCTGTGGGGCCAAATACCTCACATTCAGCTGTTCTCTGTGCTGCAGTGGTCAAAAAAAACCTGCACCAAAAAAAAAAGTGGTCAAGCTTTGAGTGGCAGAATCGCCACAGCTGCAGCCCCAGGAGGCCCCCAGAATCCCATTGAAGGCTGCTAGGGCCAGTCCAGTGCCAGCAGACAAGGTGTGCCACTGCTTCTTGTCCCCAGGGAAACAAATTTCTACACTCATGTTGACACAGCCATATAGGGTATTTCACAGCTGCTTCCAGGCTATACATACACATATATGTAAAGTATAGGTTAGAATATGATTCCTGTAACTAGCATGCGTGCAGTATAGTAAGACTTAAGGTGAAATGTTATTTAGACATTATTTTGAGTGAATGAACGAGTGCATGGAGACTCGCAGAACCAGGGTTGGTTCATTTGTTCTTAAAATCAACAAGTTAGAAGTCATAGAGCATCAAAAACAGATGAGTTAGGGTCAAGGGGTCAGGTTCAGAGAGGCAAGGGACCTTTTCCAGACAGTGCTTTCAGACCAATGTGGAAAGAAAATAAGGGAGCGTGAGGCTATAGGTAGGCCTTAGAAATATGAGGTTAGAAAGTTCATTTGATGAAGCTGAAAAGACACTTGGAAACTAAGGGGGAGAGAGAGAAGACAGATAAACTAAGAGGGGAAATTTTATAGTGTACAGCAAGCCGTTTAGTATATCTAAGAATAGAAGGCTGTTTCAATTTCTAGGTAAAACAGACCCTTCAGGACAGAACCAAGGTGATAAAAATGAGAGGATATAAACTCTGGAAACGTTGCCGATCCTAGTATTTAGGTTGTCAGTAACTGTGAGGACTCATGTTATTTTCCGTACTTGAGTCGAGTGGGCGGTATTCTAGATGTCTTCATGGAACAAGACAGCCATTGTCCCACCTGATCGTATTTCAATTCCTTCTGTTCCTCCTGCAGAAATGACTTTTTCAGGATTGACTATGACACATTATCCTGTTGCAGTTGCAAAAATTCTCCTTCATGTGCCATGATGGAGACTGTTTGCTATTCTGGGTGGTAGTGCTTCTTCTCATCTAGTTTTCCTGCACATAGGTCTTTTATAACAGCACTGAGTCAAATTGTCTTTGACTCAGAAGCTTGTTAGACATTAGTATTGGTTTGTGTGTGAGGAAGGGTCTTCTCCATCATCCCATAAGTGTCTATGCTGTGACTCTACTAATTATGTTGTGGCGTGCTGACAGTGCTAACTGTGAAACCCTTGAATCCTCTAGGACTTTTATTTTGTATATTAGTTCTTTACGATTTTATTGAGCTTTATGCTAAATGATTTTACTGGGAAGATGTGGTATACAGGCACACCAAAGAGAATGCCAGGAAAACTGACTGATAAATTGCAGATTCCTGTGGAATCCTCTCATGAGCATATTGCAGTGAACAATGTAATATTGTTATACTGCTACTCAATGTGTTGTGCATCAGCTCAGGTTTTTTTTTAAATCTGACCAAAATTTTCTAATAAGAGGTAATCCTTCTTGATTAATTAAACAGACCTATGGCATATTTTGAACCAAGTACAAATAGGAACTTCATCTAGTTTCACTAGTTCACTTCTATTTTATTTATTTCCTCCATTTTTTTGTAGATTTCATGTTTGGCTAGCTTTTGTCAATAGGAGTATTCTTACTTAACTAGAATAGGCTCGCTCTGTTCTTAAAGATCTCAATATCCATATGGGCACCATATCTGGCATTTCTAATCTCATGATCTGAGATATTGTGACCTGGATGGACCATTCTTAAGGATGAAAGGATATTTCATCGTAGCTAGCCATATGTAGAAATGGTTGCCAATTAGAGCCAATTAAGATGACTTTTTTTTAACTTAGTTACCTGTCTGCTAGGGGCTAAGCTTAGATCATCAACACATTTCACATAGGCCACTAAGCAAAATCAGATTAGAACTTTTATTACCTAGGTAAGATTTGAGTTGTCAGCCTAGAGGATCAAATCAGTCTATAGCTTATTACAACTTCACCGATCAATGCAGTCCACTTGAAGCTAAGAATTTTTAAACATCCTGTGAGCAATATACAGGCCAGGCTAGAAACACTGAGGCTTTGGTAACACTAAGGCTGTGTAGCAGTTCAAAGCCACTGTAAAGTTCCTGAGGCGTCTCCCTTCATGGGAGGTTTAGAGCCACTATAGTGGCTTTATACCATCCTTTTACCTGGGCCCATGTGTCCTGAGTAGAATAGAAAAAAGGGTGCACAATGAGCCACAACAATATATCCTACCTATACACAATGGTTGTTGGAAGCCATGGGTAATTTGAGACAACTCTGAGGCTGTTCTAATTTATTGCAAGAATGGCACTGGCCCCAGGACTGAAGAAGGTGAAGGAGTGTGCTTGTATTTTCTTTTTAGTAGTGGACTGTAGAAAGCCATTTTAGATGTTTTCTTCATTTTTAACGTTAGTGCACAATAGATGCCGATTAGATTCTTAAGTGTTTGAAGGATGGTTGGGAATCATGGTAGTAGAAGTTCCCTTTCCCACCCCCCAAAAAAATCAACACAGAGCTGCTTAAAGTTTATTTGCATACAAAAATCCTATTGACAAAAATGTTGCAAAAGCTGACACAGGTAAATCATGATTGCTTTAGTGAACAATATCCCTGTGATGATGATGATGATGATGATAATGATACCAGACTACAGGCTAGCTGTCTATAGGATTTTTTGCTATCTTTGTTAAATATTCACTGTGTTAGCCTCAGCTGCTGTCAGTAGCAGCTGATGATATGTGAAAACAGGTAGGCAAATTTGAAATATAAAAGTGAATGGGAGAGCCAGTTTTCTGCAATAGACAGAGAGGAGAATGTACAATGTCTGATTCCAGCTAGAGAAGCACTGCCTGCCCTGAGGGGGTCTCCACTGACTACAGATAACTGGCTCATATGACTGTAATTGCACCACAAAATGACACTGTGAACCCCCATGAATTAGTGAAATCTAAAAACCTTAAATTCACCATTTTTCTGAGTGTAAACTGGAATCCTAGTCTATGCCAGGCATGGAATACCACTCTTCTGTTGTTCCCACCCAAGACTTCCTTGCCCCTGTCTATTATCCCTATGCAAAATAATTATCTACTCCTTACCCTGCCACCTTCCTTTTAGCCCTTTTATTACTTCCTCCCCATTTACTCCACCCCTAGCCCCTGCCCACTGCTGGTGCTTCATTCCCCTTTGTTTATTATGTATATTCACTTTGTCTGCCATTGGCTCAAATTTCACATCATAACTCAACAGCCCAGTTCCAACTAATCTAGTCTCATAATTCATAAGTATGGTGTCACATGTGTGAGAAGTGTTGATGGGATTTCACATTTACAGGTGATTTATGTGGTAATTTACATACACTTGCAATTTGATATACTATAAGTATTTATTAAGCATACATTATGAAAGATGGCCTCTGGTTGGCTGGTGGGTAGCTACCTAGTATAATCACACATGTCAGGGCTCTTTTTTAACTTGACCCCATATCTATCAGTGCCCCATCACTTCCCCAATGCCAGACAATCAGATAAATTAGATGCATTCTGTGAGGACAGAGAAAATATTTACCACTTGCAATATGAGATAACAAATACGTGACCAGATTAAAATTGAAAGTGGAAGGCACCAGTACCAGTGATCAGAGAATTAAATCCCACAAAGTGCAGCAAGCATAAAGGGACAGTATCCCGAACAGCTGGTAAAGAGGATACCACAAACTATTAACTCAGGGGACAAGACACAGATATACTGCATGAAGGTAGCTATTGGGAAATGAAATGATTTTATCCTAAGGAGTGCTTTACTGATAAAAAGTTTGCCCGCTGAACATATTTTTTTAATATTAAAAATTGCTTTATGAGATGTGGCTTTACCAGAAAAGGGTACTTGCACTACCTCAAAGGTGAAAAGCATCAGAATGGCCCCAGACTGTGAGAAAACTCGGTGTACAGTCACAGCTTCTCTTCTGCCCATTCGAATGTGTACAGCAATTGGTTAATACCTAACACAGGGAAGAACAATAAAAACATTGTGTGCACTGCATGTACTGAATATATATTGCATGCTTAAGTATACTGCATCTCTTCCTGGTATCTATATAGTACTGCATCTGTATGATGGATATGCTATATGGGCTTTCACTGCATGCTTTCTGTACTGTAAAAACATGCTGCATGTATTGCATGTTAGCTGCGTACTCTATTCTATTTCAAGGGCTCCTTTAAAAGATAAGTATTCATAGTTTCTACTGGATAAGTTATTCTTCACTTCCCTTCCTAAAAACACTGTTGTGTAGTGTTGCTGGCGCAGAATGGCTGCCGCGTTACACCCCAGAGGTCGCTACATTCCAGCGGTGGGTGAGTGATCCCTACATATACAGTTTGTAAAGTGCTTTGGGATCCTTTTGGATGAAAGGCGCTATATAAAATGTAAGGTATAATTATTATTCATTCATTGTGTCTATTCCAGCCACACACAAACTCTGAGAGATTAAATATTAATATATTTTAAGAAGAGATTGCATTCTAGCTGCCAAAGTCAGGTACAGATTTTGAGCACCCACAAGGTGAAAGGTGCTCAGGGCTTTTGGTCGGGCACAGTACTTATTTCAGTTTAGTCTCTTCTAAATTTTCTTTTCCAAACAGGTGTAATATCTCAGTGGCATAAGCAAGTGAAGTTTGACATCATCAGCTTCTACTTTCCTCTTAACATTCAAGATATTCATGCAGCTGGTCCCCAGTTCCACTAAAGAGGGTTTAACAGATAAAGTCCAATGTGTAGGAAGAGAAAATAAAATCCCAGGTTGCCTTGGAACTCAAACAGCAGCACACAATTCTGCTTTCTCCTGAAGTATTAATAGGACACACCCAGACAGGGGACTGAATGGTAGCTTAACAATTTAGGAAATGAATAGAATGGATTGCCAAATCTCAGAATGTCTGTGGAAAACTGCAACATTTTAAAACTGAATGGATGTCTCAAAAAATATTATTTCAGGAGATCTAACGTGGTGTTTCTGAAACCAAATACAGTGCAGGGAACTTGGTCCCTCCTAAGTTTAATTAGAATACCATATTTCCTTGCATACCACACACCCCCAAATAAGACATGCAGCTTTTTTTTGAGAAGGCAGAATTAAGAAAAAAAGATGTTTATGTATGCATGAATAGAGCAGGGACAGAGTCTAATCTTATGTTCACTCATCCTCCCCATCCTGCTTAACCAAGAGCTGAAACTCTGCTGCTGAATACTGGTCTCCGCAGGTGGAGCTACAGTTTTGAAAAAGAGTTAAAATAGTCTGCAAGGCTGTGAAATAGGAAAAGAGAGACCAAGAGTAGTTAAGGCAGCAAAATTTCAGGTGGAAGTTTAGTTTGATTAGTGGAACATAAAGACCATTTAAAAGGAGAGGCAATCATTAACATTTGTAGAGTAAAGAACAATGAACCATTAAGTCAACTGACTCACTCAGCTGTTTAAGTAGAAATGCCACTGCTGCTGGGAGCAGAAATCAAAGCTGGACCAGGAATCAAAGTCAGGTGTTTGTATTTCAGATAGGAAGTCAGCTTCCCCACTTAAGAAACACACCCTAATTATGGGACGCTGATTTGGGGGGGAAAGCTGTGTAGGTATGTGATTAAATATGGTAATTATTATCCATTTCATGGCTGCTTTTACTTAAATAGAACAAGTTATAATTGTTGATTCCAGGAGCTGGGCAGTCTGAGATGCCAGGTGAGCCAAGAATCTGCAGTCCCAACCCCATGACACTCTGCATAGTGCTCCCCACCCTCCCCCGCCAGCAACCTGGCCTGATGAAGTCCATCCCAAGATTTCCAAGGGCTGAGCCAAAGTTAGAGCCAATGTCTCCAAAGCTTTCAGACTCCTAGCTGTTTCTCACAGAGTGGTAAGTCATGGGTCCCAGCCCTCCAGGGCATACCATATAGGGTCACCCTGAAAGTCAGGCTTCCCAAACAAGTTTCCAATGCAAAACTTCCACTGAAATTAACTGTCCGTGATACTAGTGCAAGATTTGATGTAGCAGAATTGATTTTCAGAATGACTATTGTCCCCTAATAGTGGACCAGACAACTGGTACATCTTGCACGGCAATTGCTAAAGATATTTTGCATATCATGCTTAGTGTCTTTATCAGGAATTCTCTCTTCCTGTAACTGCCTTTCACTACAAGACACATGTGCTTTTATACACAGTACCTTTCCAAGCTGGCATGACCCAGTAGCTAGCAGTATGGTTCCACTGACAGGATTAGGGGAAACCAAGCTTAGCTAGGATTCAAAGAGCTAAGTTAACTGGACTGCAACCAGAGAACTAAGGATCTTAAGCATTTAGAGGCAGATTCTCCTGCCACTTGGCTGGAGAAACTCTCAGCTTATATAAGGTTTCTGCACAAACTGTCCCATCCTAGCTTTGGGGGCAGGGCTGATCTAATCTATCCTGAGCCAGTGGAGGCTCAGCATATAGTCCCTTAGGACCATACTGTAGCGTAGAAAATTAAAAAGCAGACCCTAGGCCAACTCTAACTGGTGCCAGAGGGTAGTTTGCATAATTAAGGAGCCATAGCTGCTCCCTTACATTATGGGACCGTGAATGGATCTTTAGGAGTAGGACATTTTTACTGCACTTTAGCCTAGTAGAGTATGCCTTGCAGGTGAACACTTTAAGTGTAAGGAATTTTCAGCAAACCAAAGATACAGCAGGGATGGATAATGTTGACTTTAATTCAACCTAGCATGTGCCCATAGAGCTATAACCAGAAACAGAAGATACAGACCAATAACAAATACCCAAACTAGCTGATTTTGGAGAAGACTAGACCACAACAACTTAGACTAAATAGGCAGTGGTCAAATACAGTAATTTAGTGACACTTACCAGATAGGAGTGCTAGTTTGCAGTAATCCCCTTAAGAATCCAGTGGTAAAGAACAAGTGGGTATGGCTGGAAATAAAATGAGCGACAATTTTGCACACCTGCTATTGAATGTCACGTTACACATCCAGTTTCCATTTGGTATAATAAGGCATGATTTTGGTGGTATTGTCTCTTACTTTGATGTCTACTAATTTAAATGAAATTTTGGTTTTTCTTTCATTTTTATGTTGATGTTTCTGTGTTGACTTTGTGTTCAACTAAGTTATTTTTTCCTTCATCGATATTGCTTTTTAACCCCATTTCATATTTAACTTTGTTAACTTCTGTTACTTACATTTGCCATGTATCTTTTTGTGAAAAAAAAATCTAATAAAAAGAACATTAAAATGAAGCAAAGTAAAATTACCCTGACATCTACAGTGAAATATAACAAAGACAAGATGGGCAGGACTGGAAGCTCTGTGTCTCTGGAAAATTACTTACTTCAGGAACAGTCTGAGAGGGGGCAACACTGTTTTCTGATACCAGGCAGACATGTCTTAGTTAAGACTTGGTTCAGTACAAGAGCTCAGGATTGCCCATCATACAAGGAACCACAAGTTCAAACCTAAACTGATAGCTGACTGAAGTGCCATTTGTTTCCTCCCCTCAGAAGAAAGATGTACACATCCCAGATGTCAGCCTTCTTGTGTGGGTGGAATGAAGCTGAGAAGCATTATCACCTCGGAGAAGACTGTTCTCTGAGAAACTGATGTTTCTGGTTTGCATTGGGAGGAAGTAGATGAAACTGATAAAAAAAACCTGGGTAAATGCAGGTGGGGGTGAAAGGGACTCAATCCTGAGATAGTGCAAGAAGTCCAACCTTGATATGGAAGGAGGTTGGTGGAGACTGTGGAAATAAAACTCCAGTAGTATTCAGACCCTTTGTTCTGTGTTAATCTGGCAAATGGGAGCCCCATTTTCTGAACTCTGGAGCCCTGTGCACCCTCTCTCCCTTCTTCCCACAACCACAAAATTGCCCATAGGACTGATCCTGCTCAAGTAAGTAACTGATAAGAGTGCATGGTGGTTGCTGATTATTGCATGCTTATGTTGGTTAATGTCTGCATGACAGATAAAAAGACTGAGCTCTGTGCTGGCCAGAGCACATTAACATAGTGTGAAACCACAAATATGAGACATAACGGCTTTTTTTTTTAAGATGAGTTCAGAACCTCCTTCCAGGCTCTCAGCTCTAAGAATTACTGGCTTGGTTGCATACTTTGTTAGCAAAAAGCAAGATCAAGAGAAGAACACAGCACACAAACATGCAAAACCCATGCTGTTCTCTTTTCATGTAGACAGTCTGATGTTGTTTCCTCTCATTTGACTCCTTGCCTGTCCAAGGCAGTTTGGTTTAATTGCTGTATTCCACTTATTTAACAAACTGAATGTGAGTGGAATTTTAAATTTCAGTTCAGCAGATCTCAACCAATGCCCAGTCCCAGAAGATGTAAAACATTTCATGAGATACTTCAATAGACTTCAACAAGAAGTGAAGCTGCTTAGCACCTCGCAAGGTTGAGCCTCTGCATGGCATAGCTGATCCAACTGTAAAATGGACTGTAGAGTCAAGAGTCAGACCCTGAACATAAATTGTGAATGTTTCTTGAAAGCTTTCCTGAAAATCTCCTCAGGGTTACTCTACCTTCAAATCACACACTGTTTCACCATTAGTAGCATAATCTGTTTTTTTTTTACCACACTAGAACAACTGCTAGCTAGAGATAAAGTTCAGAGATAACAAACTCACGCTGCTGCAGAAACAGAGCTGAGTACTACTTTTATCCTTTTGCAATGGACATGGTGGGTTAGATCGGCTCTTAAAACCTACAGGAAAGTACAGTAGTTTAGAGCTAAAAAGGGAACTTGCACCTTTTTCTGTCCAGGCCTTTACACATGCATGCTAATACTGAAATATGATGTTTGAGTTACAACAGTGTTGCCATCATAAGAACAGCTTCTAGAAGATTTCTTTTTAAAGCTTCAGCCCTTGTTAAAAATTTATAGACAGGTCCCTGTCTATTTTAAACTTAAGTGGATCAGCATATGTGTATGACAGAGTGAAGTGTGTGTGTGTGTGTGTGTGTGTGTGTGTGTGTGTGTGTGTGTGTGCGCGTGCATGCGCGCACACGCGCATGCTGCCTAAAACCAGCCAGGATTGAATAATTTTCTCCTGGAAATATACCATGATTGACTAACTTCTCCTTTGGTGGGTTGAAGTGAGGTAGGAATGTGTGAGAAGTGATACAAATTGCAGGGGAAAAAAACTATACTTTGTTTGGAATCTTTAGCAAGGAAGTGCAGATTCATAGTGCCAGACTTTGCCATCCTGTCCACACTAAGAGCCATACCCTGCACTCCTCACTTAGTTAAAGATCGCATTGAGGGAATTTGGGCTAAGTAAGGACTATGTGATTTTATT